CACCGATTCATAAGAACACCATCTGTTATGAATTCATCAACAGATCAATCCATTGGTTAAGTCAAAGGGCTCATGATCCAATCATTCCCATACATCCTCACCTCTAAACACTGAAGACCAAGCCTTCAGCACATGAATTTGAGGGCAATAATTCATATCTAATCCATCCAGAATGTAAATTTGGATGGCTAAAAATGACAAACATGTTATATCCCCAAAAGTCAGCAAAGGGGAAAATCAAACAAACAGTATGCTAAAGCTATGTATTCTGGAATGCACATGCATTCCTCTATCAATCTGAGACAAGAAGATCTTGAGTTCAAAGTCAGCCTGGGCTATGTAATGAGCTTAGTACCATTGGCTTCATAGTCAGGCCCTGTTAACAAACTAGTTCAGTAATCCAAAAGATCAACAACAATAAGCTGAGAGTGTTGGTCATTAGGACAGAACTGAGTTATCCCCAGCATCATAAAAAGTGCATTAAATAAAATATAAAAAATATTGACTATGGAAGTATCAGGATATTGTGATTTACTCATGATGGCATATGATTTAGTAATCAAAGTGGATGAAAATGATACATGTGTACTTTTAAAAATAGATAAGTGAAACTAAATGCAGAGTAGGCTCACAAGACACTGGATGGTAAGTAAATACAACTCTTGTAAAAAATGTTCAGCGGAAAACAATAACTGTTTTATATGTGGAGAGTTAGCAGTAGGTATCTGGGTATTCAGTAAAGTGAATGGAAGATACAGACACACATATTTGAAGACCAGCCTCCAATCACACTGTAGTGCCGGAAAGAAGAGGGGTAAAGAGTAAGAAGCAACTCCTGTTGTAGTTGTTGTTGTTTTATGAAGCATCTGTTGTTTGGCAGATGCTGACAAATATTGAAGATGGCACAATAAAGAGAAACAGACAAAGCTTTTGCCTTTGTGAAACTAGTGGGAAAAGAAGTGAATGTCAACAAAATAGTCATTCACAAAATGTAAACTATTGTCATCTATGTCCAGGAAGAGGGGAAGGGTAGAGAATGGTACAGAGAGGAAGCTTTCAGGATGCACAGAGCACCAGGAACAACAATCTGGCTGCAGGATGTGTGTGTGCGTGTGTGTGTGTGGTGTGTGTGTGTGTGTGTGTGTGTGTGTGTGTGTGTGTGTGTGTGTGTTGGAATGCTGAAGAAGACAGGGACAGGGAGAGCCAGGGCTGGGGCGGGGGACAAAGGAGAGAGGTGGGGCTAGAAGAGAAGACAGGCTTTCATAGACCACAGGAGCAGCATGGCACTGACGAGGGTAGTAGGGGAAGATTAAACAAAGCTACAGTTTCAAGTCATTCCTCATAAAGGATGTAGGGAGGGCAGGAGAGACTGCAGGGGCAATAGAGAATATCACCTGTGATAGGAATGGAGACGCAGCTCCACTCCATCCTCCACAGTACTAAAGTGTCCCTTCTTCCCTGGGGCACCTGCATTCAGTCGTAACCAGGACTCCTGCTCCACCACAGAAAAGATTCCTAAGATGAGCTCATACAAAGCAGACTTGGAGATTTATTAAAAGACATTTTTAATATAGCTCTTATGAACACAGTTATTAAATAGTGAGTGAGAGGGAGGGAAAGAGGGAGGGCGAGAGAGATACACAGAGGGAGACAGAGATGCAGAGAGAAACAGGGAAAGACAGAGACAGAAGAGAGAAACACAGAGACTGAGACAGAGATCATGACCAGATGATGTGAGGTTCTCCAGAGTGTCACAGTAGGTTTGTTTATCATGTGTATATACAAGGTTTTGGTGACATTTAAGTTACACCTAAAGGTTGCTGAGAAACATTTCTCTCCTCAACATTGCTTGAAGAGTGTAGTTTACATACAGGTTAAAAGTTAAGGAATTCTCTTTGTGAACAAAGCCATAAGGTGGACTTACGAGGGATAGATTTAGGAATACAGGGACGAGCCTGAACCTTTCCCCACCTCAGCCCTAAGCAAACACAGCTTACTTACCAGTTTTTAGGAACATATACTGTCTTCATAGGCAAATTAAATTTTTTGAGCCCATTTTTCAGGACAACCAAGCCAGACCATTCTCATGCTCTCTTCCCATATCCCCTTAATTTCTCTTATCTATTCTGCCTCAGAACAGAGGGGAATTATGGTAATCTTCTACATCAGTCTAGGCCTGGGGAAGTAAAGAAAGAAAACAGAAGGAGGAGATAAAATTCACTGACAGAATTTAGAGTATCTGTAAGGACAATGGGAAGAACAGGTGACTATCTGTGAGAAAAAGACAGCAAGATGAGTCCCATGCATAGCACAATGGACAGTTACCATTTATAGAGGCGAGGAGGCCTGAATGTGACCAAGCTTATGAAGAAGATTATGAATTTGGTTTTGGACAGGTTGAAATAACAGTGCCCTTGAGATATTTAAAAAAAGATCCAAGAAGGCTGATGAATATGAAAGTTTGAAACACAAAGGTGGGAATTAAAACCGGGAATGTTGGTCAATGAATTTTAGGGAAGGAATTCAGCATGGTATATTCTTGGTGCTGAGAAGTTTCCTCATGACTGATAAACAAATGCTGACCCTGCAAGGGCACAGAAATGCTGGAGTTGAGAGGAAAATGGAAAATGAAGAGTGAATCCAGCTAAGAGTGTTTCTGCAGGAGGCAACAGTAAGCTATGACAACTGAGCAAAGCTCTCTGACCACATGAGTTCCATGAACCCCACCGAGGTAGCACTCACTGCCTTCTTCCTCCAAGATCTCAGCTCTGTTGTCTAATGATCTAGCTGAACCCCAGGCACCTCCCCTAGGAAACACCTCTAAAGACCTATCCTGACCACAGCCCCCTGTAGAACACTGTGAACCTTCCACAGATATCTGATAGTTTGTGGAGGGCTCTGTGGGAAGTCTGCACACAGCTCAAAGGTGACATCTATCCTAGTGAGGACCTACTGCTTCTGTTAACCCATCCACACGTCTGCACAGAGTGACCCTAAGACTGAACTCCATGCACCATTCAGCTGGTCCAAAGCCTGACAAACTGTGATAACAGCAAACAGATATCCAATAAAAGTGGAATAAATATCCATACAAACATCACTACCATCACCTAACTCAAGATGTCTAGGTCCCACTGCAAAAACACAAACAACACGAATAACCAAGGCAACATGTCTCTTCCAGGACAATTATTCAAAATAGCAATTATAAATATATATGAGGTACCCAGAAAGGATATGAATAAATGCTTTAACAAAGACCATGAAAACTCAAAAAGCTGAAGAAATATAAATAATTCAATATATAAAAGTAGAATTTAAAAACAGATATTATTTCTGAAGAAAACCTAAACTGACATGAAAACTTGAAACAAAAGAATTCAGTAAATAAAATCAAAAGTCCAATTCGAGTCCTCATCAACAGAAAGCGTAAAGTGGAAGAGAACACCGATAAAGTAGAGGGACTGGATAACTCAAACACAATGAGAAATGTGAGAAAAACACTCTAAGAATCAGCAAGACCTTCCAGTACAAGAGAAGTGTTAGCAGAATCCAGTGAAAACCGTGTTGAACTGGAAAGGGTGAGATATAGAAAAAAGAGGAAAGTTCTGGCAATGAAAAAGAGGATGAAATCGGCAACCAAAATAGAATACCAGGTCTGGGCAGAGCTCTTTACCACAGAAAGATGAACCTGCACATTGGTGTGAAACCCAGTTGTCCTAGTTCACTTTTGTTGTGATAAAACATTGACCAAAAACAATGTGTGGAGGAAATAGTGTATTTGGGTTACAGATTACAGTTTATCATCGATCCCTCGTGAGGCACGAGCTCAGTGTAGTAGCTTGATACAATAATGATAGATGAGTGTTGCCTACTAGATTGCACCCCAGACCTAACTGTCCAGAGATGATGCTGCCCACAGTTTGCTAGACTCTTCTACACCAATAACTATCTAGAAAGCCCCCTACAGACAAACCTGCTGATCAATCCAAAGAAGGGAATTTCTCCATTGAGGTTTTTTTTCTTTTCGGGTGTGTCAAGTTGACAGCTGAGGGTAACTATGACGCTGTTGAAATTTCTTTTTATGGCTTCTGATTTATTTTTTGAAGTTGGAAAAAGGAAGACTTAAAAAGCAAGGAAGAGGAAGTGGGAACAGTAAAAGTATTGTTCAAAATGTTAAGAGGAATTTTGAGATAGCACCAGTTTTTGCATGTTTACCTGGTGTGGGCAGGACTCATCTTGAGTTTCACATGTTTGATCACTAGCACTAATGATTTTTCAGCACTGTGAAGTCTGTGTTTAATTCACTTTAGTTTTTATTCTGTAAGAGTCTACTTCCTACTTTAAATCTACTTCTATACCACATATGTAACAGACCTTCATGAAATGATGACCAAGTTCTCTATATAACTTCTGAAAAACACCTCGAGTCATTCATCAAATATCCCATGCATTGTTTTCTAGAACAGACTGTGAAGACACAGAAAGGACAATATTGGTAAGGCCACTGTTGGTTGAAATAGTTCTAGGGAAACAGGTGAATCCTCTGCCCGTTCACCTGTCTGACTCTAGCAAGTGAACTGCTGAATGGAAAGGAAACTTGTCCATTCCTGATTCTCTGCTGAGACTGTCAGGGGCTCTGAGTGACACTCTTGACTTTCTTGTGTTGAGTATATTCCCAGCACTGGTAAAAGACTTCTAGTTTTCATAAACAGAAGGCTTTCTTGGTTAACCCAGTGCCAATCCTGAGAGGTCAGTTCCTTCACCTACTGAAAGATAAGACTCAGTCTAGATTTTTCTCACTTCCTACACAGTTCCTCCTTTCTCTGTTCTTTGAATCCATTGCTTAGATGGGATGACGTGTGGGGAACCAGAATGGGCAACTTTCAAACTAAACCAGATGACTCGACTGCCTCTTTCACAGAAGGTAGAGACTGGGTTAAGCTGACCTCGGCCTACCTGAGGCTTGTCTGACTCCCTTCTCACCTTTCTTTCTTCAGTGGTTTTCTGATGCCTTCAGGAAAAACTCTCACCTGTCTAAAGAGTCAAACTCTGAACCATCAGGAAGTGTTTCTACCGTTGTCATAGAAACCTGGTCTGCCTTTGGTAGGATGGAATCAAGAAATCATAATTATTATAAACTATTGGGAGAGATGAAGAAGATTTGGTGAAGATACAAGCAGGGTCTATTTTACTACTATAGCTACTTTATATATGTCTAAATAGTTTTTTGATAAAATTGCTTTTAAGGAAGATCTCAAAATTTACTACTATATACCAGTTTGTTTTCAAGCTCTTTACCAAAAAGGCAGCTTATGTTGTTGTTACTTTGTGTGTGTGTGTGTGTGTGTGTGTGTTTGTGTGTGTGTGTGAGAGGGGGGGGGAGAGAGAACAGTGCTCCATAAAACATTTACTTTCACTATATATTTTGTTACTCTCGGCCCTGCTTGGTGCTTGGTTAATATTTAAGATGGTGTTGGAATGTATGTGACTGACCCCAAGATGTGTTCACTGGTTATGTCTCAAAATTTGAAAGTTGCAATTTGAAAAAATAAATCATTAGTCAAATCTTCTGGTGTATTAGTCTGTGTCAAGAGAAAAGTAGTTTTAGAGAGAGGGATGAAGGAGAAAAATCAGTCATGAAATTCTTGCCTCCCTTTTTTGAAAGGTCAGGCCCTCCTCTTGGGAGCAGACGTCATCAGGGATTGGCTAAAAGTGCGTGCTTCCTTCACAAGCTGCCAGTTCTGTGAGTGAGGAGCCACTGCCCTTATTTCCGTCCATTCGTTCCTGGAAAGAGCACAACTTCTGTGAAACTACCCCTCCTCTCTGGCCTTCTTAGCTTCGCTAATGTGGAGTTCATTTCCTGTCTGTGTTCATTTCTCCAACTTGCCCAGGTTGTGAATTTATACCCTGTGCTCTCTCTTCCTTTTCCTCTTTCCCTTTATGATGATAGCCCCACTAGCCAGTGCCATTGACAAAAGTGTCATCCACCAAAGGGAAGTGACAAAGCATGCTGAGATTTGTTCAACACTTAAATCCCATTGTAGCAAAGGTCAGATGATGCTAGCAGAGTACAGACAAGTCTGATGTCTAAAAGAAAGCACTGGATACATTTAACTTTGGTACTTAAGAATAAAGTATGGAGGAACCTTCTGCCCTACAGCAAATGGCAACCAACTTCCTGTTGGGGAAAAACTTGAGAATTTGCCAACATCAAGGATTCAACACACATCAAGGAAATACAGAATAGCATCTTCATACACTATAAAATAACCTTTGAGTTTTAAACTATTTTATAGGTCACAAATCCAGGACTTTGCATATAACGTATTTTATATATTTTATACATTATATATTTGTGTGGAATATTTAGTAACTGAAAACACACATACATTGAATAAACTCCTCCTTCCACTCATAAATATTATTTTGCTGAGGGGGGCATTGCCATTCTTTCAATTGCAAAAGCTGTATTTCCTTCACTATTAAGGTTAATGAGGGCTGGGGCTCTGTAATCTACATGAGTAGGTTAATTCTCATGTGTCCTAGATAGTTGAGAGAGAGAGATTTGGAACTTCAGCTGAGGGGAGATACACGCATTGCCAAACTGAACATACAAGCATGCAAAGCCAGTGAGAGAAACTGTGTGCAATGCCTCAGCTTGCCTTTCAGCACAGCCCGGATGCTGAGCAAGGGCGGCCATGCCCCCTGTGCATGAAGGAGAAACGCCAGTTCAGAAGCTGTAAACAACCTTGGAGAAAGGCTGTTACACGATTCAAGCTTTGATTATATGATAGATGGACAGACATTTACTAAAAATTAGCTGAACTGTTATGACATTGCTGACAGGACATTCATGTGCCAAGTGTATTTTAGAAGTGAAGATATGGCACAATCGATCTCCTTCCTGTATCCAGGATATGAGTGTGCAAGTTTCTTCATGTACAAAGCTAAAAGTTCAAAGTTTCAAAGCATCACAACTAGATGAGACTATTTCAATTCGTTCACTCAAACCACGTTTTGCCCCAAGGCAAAGGAAGCTAAATTTTCTCATGACTTCTTTCCTCCTTCAGGCTGTCTTTACTATTGATTATGGGAAAGACGGGTACTGGAAAAACAACACAACTGAGACAAGAGACTCCTATTGGTCACATCTCATGGTAAAGCATTATTATTGCCTGTAAATGTTTAGATGTCTCCATCTTTTTTTTAATTGAAGACTGATAACATTTTGGAATCCATCCTCCCAGCAGACTCAGTTTTAGACATTGTGCTGGAAAACTAATTTAAAAAGCAGAACCTAGTAGCAGAGACAAAAAAGACATGGATTAGTGAACATGATGTGTTAATGATGACCACTGTGAACCTCTAAGTCAGACAGAACTAACTATAGTGACATAAAGGAGTTCCCAATGCTGAGGTAGAGAGGATTGGTTTTGGAATAGGAAGCAATTTGGGAGGTGCTATATTTTGATTTTGGTGGTGATTATTGGGTATATACCGATGTTTGAAGTCATTGAGTCATGTGCCCTAAATAGGTACATCTGTAAAGGCTTTCATTTTAGTTTTTATTACTTCACTGAGCTTTGCACAGTGTCTTTTGATCATATTCACCCTCCTTCAACTCTTTGCAGTTCCATCCCCTTTCCTACACACCCGGGTTTTGTGCCATTTTTATTTTTAAAATCCATCAAGACCAATTTGTGCTCCCTAAATGTTTTTTAGATGTGTGGTCTTTCACTGAAGCATGATCAACTTATCAGGGGCTATACTCAGAGAAGAAATTGTCTCTCTTTCTCCCCATAGCTGGCAATTGCCTTGTGAGGAAGAGATGGGGTACAAATGCTTCATTTAATGCTGATAATTTTGCACTCTCTTATTCTCTGTAGCTTGGCTATCTGTGGGTCTCTGTGTTAATCACCATTTACTACAAAAAGAAGCTTCTCAGATGAGACTTGACTGATGCTTTGACACATGGGTGTAATATTTCATTCAGGAGTTGTTTTGGTACTATGTCAGTTTAATAATATAATAGTCGTAGGTCCTCTCCTAGGGCCCATGGCATGTCTGTCCCATTCACTGTGCCAGGTATGGGTTTCATCTTGTGGAGTGGGACTTAAATCCAATCAAAAGCTCATACACACATGCGCAAAGAGTTAAATGGAGTTACCCTACAACAAGGCAACACCCATACTAGACACTAGAAACTAACAAAAAGAAGCCCAGTCCATGGAATGGGTTACAAGGGTACATTTTCTCAATAAAGTTACAAATCTGAACTGAGGTAATATGGGAGGTAAAGAGGCAATGTAGATACAGTAGAGATGAGTGTCCTTTAGAAAATTTTCAGCCGTGAAAACTGTTAAGTTTATAGCTAATGCTGTGGTCTGACATCCTGCACTGGCCTCCTTGGGCAAGGTGGAGAGAAAATTGAGTCACTCCCGCTTGTGGCCATGTGATCAAACAGAACTCAGAAACAGGACACTTCCAAAACCTGAAGATTCTAGTCAGAGTCAGAGGGCCCTTGTCCATCTAAGAGTGTGACAGCTAAATATACTTCCCGCCCTCTTTGAGATAGTACCACCCACATTCAGGGTGGGTCTTCACACATCAGTTAAACATCTCTGGGAAAATCCTCCACATGCCCAGAGATGTGTCTTCTATTTGATTATAGATCATATCAAATTGGCAACCAAGATTAAATATCACAGAACATATGCAGCCAAATCATGCCACCAAAGTCCTTCTGGATGTGGGTTTAGAATAGCAGCAGCCAGAATGCAGAGTTTCTTTCTGAAGTGATAAATGTGTTCAAAACATGATAAGTTGATGGTTATACCACCAAGTTTGAACCATATACTCTAAGCGGGTGACTTGTGTAGCATGTATATTATGTCTCATTGATGTGATTCTTTTTAGATGGCAACATAATCAATCCTATATGAGCCAGAGAGATAAGGAAACTTTGCCCACAAGCCAAAGCAAAGTTAACTGGATGAAACCCTTCATTTTTGTTTTCTTCGATTCATACTTAATGTTAAACCAACAAGATACAGATAGAGTTACTTCAGAACAACTTGCTATTCCATTCATATGACAAAGAAAGATATAACTATCTCCACTTTCAAAGAGTAATATGACTTCCATTTCTGTTAATTTATAACCTTGGATAACCTGAAAAACGTCCTTAACTAAAATAAAAATTGTGTCCAATATTACTTATTCTGGGTGCATTCCTCATCTGTTATAAAATATCTTCACAACCCCAAAGCAAAAAAAGAATTTTGAGTTAGTTGATTGAGTAACTCAACATGAAGATGAACTAAGACCAGGTGAAATGATGGAGTTACAACCACAGTCTTGGTGGTTAAATGAGAACAATGTGTTTTTCACTCAGGGCTCATGTCTGCAGGGGTGTCCACTCATTCTCCTCTGCGAGAATTCACTGACAGAGGCTTCCATCCAGCGTGGGAGGACTGCAGTCAATGTTTGGTTATGTGGGCCACATTCAATTCTCTTCAAGTCTGGAGATAATTTTATTGTTTACATCATTCTTATTGTGATTTATATTTGGACTGAACATCAGTCAGGTTCCTCCTGTTGATTCCTTCATCTCTACCAACCTACACTTTTCTTTTTATACTGGCTTATACTGAATTTTGGTGAAGGAGTTCCCTTCAACGCATTAAAATCAAACTAGTTATTATAACATAATGGGATTGATAGTCCAGGGTAAAGGATACAATAGGAAATGTGACTAACCTTTACTGTAAGATGTGAAGAGTTTTAAAATAAGTTCCCTTCAACTTGAGGGGAGACTCACAATGGTTTGAAAAGTGCTTTCTAACTGAGATTTCAGAAAACGCAGTTTAGATTAGAAACAAATACCATATGGTATAAGATCATAGTAATTATCACTGAATTCCTGGTTAAGCCCCATATTGTAAACTTGTATTTCTCATTTTATGAAATTACTTAGGTCAGTTTCTTCTTGGAGAAATAAAGGAAAATCTAACTCTACAATCTTGGTCTTTAGTCTATGGACACTGAATTCTCTAGTTGTTCCTTGCTGAGGTGTATTAGGCAAGGTTCTCTACAGAAATGTAACATACATGCAGGTACGTGCATGCATGTGCCTACACTCACACACAGTATATTTATGATTGGTTTACAGTATATTTATGATTGGATGTGGTGGTTTGAATATAATTGGCCCCCATATTCTTATAGGAGGTGTGGCTTTGATGGAGTTGACATGGCTTTGTTGGAGGAAGTGTGTCACTGTGGGGGCAGGCTTTGAGGTTGTTTTCTCAAGTTTCACTCAGTGTGAAAGTCAGTTGACTTCCTGTTGCCTTCAGCTACCTCTCTACTGTATCTGCCTGTACGCTGACATGCTCCCAGTCATGATGATGGTGGACTGAACCTCTGAAACTGTAAGCAAGCCACCCCATTTTAAAGTTTTCTTTATAAGAGTTGCAATGGTCATAGTGTCTCTTTACAGCAATAGAAACCCTAACTAAGGCAGTAGGAATGTAAATGATAACCATGATGGAGAACAGAGTGGAAGCTCCTTAAAAACTAAAAATAGATCTACCATGTAATCCAGCTATCCCAATATGAAGCCAGTCTATCAGAGGTCACTGCATGTTCATGTTTATTATTGAATTATTCACAACAGTAGTGAAATAGAATCAACCAAGAAACTAAACAACAAAGGAATGGATAAAGAAAAGATGGCCATAAACACAATGAAATATCCATTTGCAGGGAAATGGATGAAACGAATGGATATTATGTTAAAAAATAAGCCAGATACAGGAAGATAAGTGCTACATGTTCTATCATATGTAAAAGGTAAAAAAATAATCTTAATAATCGGGAGGCAGAGGCAGGTGGATCTATGTGAGTTCAAGGCCAGCCTGGTGTACAGAGCAAGTTCCAGGACAGCCTCCAAAACAATACAGAGAAACCCTGTCTCAAAAAACCAAAAAAAAAAAAAAAAAAGAAAGAAAAATCCTAATGTAGATGAGTGATGACGTGAATTTTGGAGGGGGAATTAGACTAGTATGTGCTGTGTACATATGTTGAAATCTTATGCAAAGTTGTATTAATATACAAGATAAATACAAAGATTAAATATAAAAGCATTTTTTGTGTATGACCCATTAGTACCTTTTGTCATACTTAGAGTTTAAACTTGATACTCTCATATGAAGACCCCATGTAAGTTGCATTTTAACACCTTTTCAGCACCACCTAGATCTCCCTAGTTTGTCCTGACTACTTCCCAGCCAGTAGTCATCTCTGTCTTCTCTATACACAGTGTATCTTTGAGAATATTCTTCTTACTACCAACTTTTCCCATTCTCTGACCATCTTATTCAAGTAGACACCTATGCACTGGAGTCTCTCACCAAAAGTTATTCCTCTCTAGAGCTCTGTATATTGTTTATTTGGTTATTAATTGATCCCCCACAACCCACCCACCCTCAACACACCCACACCCACACCCACACCCACACACACACCCACACCCACACCCACACCCACACACACACAATACCATTGGACTGTAAGTAAAATGAGTGCAGTGGCCGTATCTATTTTATCTCTAGAACCTATTAGAAGAAATTCAGTAACTATATATTGACTATAGCAAGCAACTGAGTCTTTTGCCTAGGTCCATACCTAGGCATTTTTACAGAATTTTTTCCTTCTCTTCAAAACACTTGTCTGTACACTTATAATAAGGCAGTGACTCCAAAACTCCTTATGGAGAGAATGACTTCATGGATAGTATACAGTCTCAGCTACTAACTAACAGTTTGGCCTAAGTCAAGCTGATGTCTCTTTAGGTATCAGTTTCCATCAGTCACACGGGAATAATGCTGGACACTGCTTCACTCTGTGACTCAGTCCCCAAGCCTTGCCAGAGACCTCCCTGGAGCTTTTCCCAGTATCATCTTCAAAGGGAGTTTTCATTTTGTTATCTCAGTGGCTGGTGAGTTTGTAGAAGGATCTTAATATACCAAGCCAAAAATATAATAGGAGCCTTATTATCTATCAAGACTACCTCAACCAAGTGCCCCAGGAGGAGTGCTTTCAACAAAAATACTCCCCACAGTATTCTGGAGTCTGGAAGCCCAAGATGAAGATGTGTGCATGGATGCTTTCTTTTGAAGAGGTGTGCATGGATGCTTTCTTTTGCGGCATTCATTGTCTTGCAGAGGGTTGCTTGCCTGCTGTGGGCTCCTTTCGTGTGCTCACCCCCAGTATCTCTTCTAATGAGTCCACCAGTTCTGTACAGTGAGATTCCTAAAGGTATGGTCTTGTTTAAGCTAAGTTGCCTCCATAGAAGACCTCTCCCAAATACAGCCACACTGAGGTAAGGATTCACTGCAAGAATGTGGGTTCAAAATTCAGATTGAGAATCCATGAGAAAAGTAAAGAGAATGCCAGGCATGATGGGTCACACCACATCTCAAAGGAGAGCCACAAGTTCAAGTCCATCCTGGACTACCTAGAGAACATGTATCCTGTAATAAATTAATGAATTAATGAAAGAATGAAGTCCCAGTAATTTTGACTTAGGCCCTAAAATAGTAAATCAGCCCCAGTGCTCTATAGATTCTATTCCCTTCAGTAATTTTTCTTTTCCCCAATTCTACTCTCTTGAATATTCACAAACACATCTGCCATAATACCTATTTCTCAATTCACAAAAGTGAAAAAACAGTATTTTGAAAAAGTACTAACAATAGCTTTTTCATCATAATATGTATGTACCTGACCCAAGAGATAAAGCAGACAGAGAGTGTCTGCGTATTCATGGTCTAAATGATGCAAGGTTTTGTACTTAGTGTTTTAATAAAATGCATTACTGTAAACATACTCATTATTTTACTCACACGAAGGTGACTTTTGAAAAACATGATTACTTTACCTTTCTTAAGCATGGCTTTTTGAAAGATTCATTTGTCCTAGTATCCTATATCCAATTTTCAGGCATAGAAAAGAATACCAAAATGCAATAGAAATCAATGTGCTTAGCACTTTGAATACAAATGTCAGAAAATAATTCTTAAAGCTTCTAGTTTTAAATAGAAACAGTATGCATCTTATATCTACTCATAAAGACAAATAACAAGAGATTATATCCCAGTAAATTATGTAATATAAACTATTAATATATTTTAGATGTGAAATTTATAATATGTATATATCTGACCCAAGAGTAAAGGAAATAGAGAGTGCCTGCATATTTATGGCCTAAATATGTCTTCTTGTGATGCCCACTTTTCTTTTTTTTTAAGAGTGGTACATGTTCTTACTTTCTCCACAAATACCATATTGTACTGTACTCATCCTATCTCTTAAAAGGAAGTACTTTGTTTATGGTTAATCTTCAGCATATGTGAACTGTCATATCACCTCCTTTGTGCTCCTGGAACATTTTTCCCTCAATATATGTTTTTATTTAAATTAGAAACGTGAATGTTTCACATGTCAGACCCAGCTCCCTCTCCCACCCCTCATCTCTTGTCCCTCCACCAACTCCCCAGCCCCCCACCCATCCCCACATCATTCCCCAGGGAGGGTGATGCCCACTTTTCAAAGAAATCCATTTGTCCTTCAAGATACTGCTGAGGGGAAAATCTAAAATAATATTTCTATCTTATCTAAAGAAAAGGCCACTGAATCAGATTACTATGTAAGTATTATTGCAGAAAAGACCTTCTTTTTGTCTTATTCTAAATATAGAACTCCTAGCTCCTTAAGCACAGAAAACATGATCTGATTCAACGTTCTGTCTCCCGACCCTACTGCTGAACCTGGCCCAGAGTCAAGGATGAAGAGATACCTCTAAAATTGATGAACATAAAGACACAGTGGTGACCCCGAATGGTAATGACACAGCAGTCTACTGAAGATGTCTAAGCCTGAAGTGCTCCAGATTTTGAACCAAGATGTCCTAAAGGGTAGAGAATGATAGAATGGGGATACCCATGATAAACTATGACTAAAGTTAGAAAATATGCTTTTAGAAGCACCATCACATTAGATGTCAGACATCTGAGATCCATCTGAAGTATTCCACAGACAGGCTGTGTAACACTGTACCAGGTGCTTAATTTCTGCATCTTGATTTTCTCAATAGATGAAGTTTAATTAAGCCCATCAATTGCTCTGTGAGCTCCAACAGTTCATGCATAAGATA